TACTTCCGGTTAGTTTAAAACTCAGTGATTTGACTCTGGAAGGCAAATCAAAAGCAGTCCTGCACTCTATTGCAGCAACAAGGGAGCTACTCGCACAGGTCCACAGGGCCCCTGGACGTATGGTGCATTGTGTCTCCATCCCTTAGAGATCCGTATGTTAAATACTAGCCCCCAGTACTGCGGAATGTAATCCTATTCAGAAATGAGGTCGCTGCCAATGTAATTATTGATGTTGAGGTCATTAGGATGGGCCCTACTCACATATAACTGGTGTTTTCATAAGAAGCAGAGATTTGGACACCTAGAGAACATGTGAAGACGAAGGCAGAGATGCTCCTACATTCCAGGGCCTGCTAAAGATGGTGGCCAAGCACGAGGAGGTAGAAAAAGGCTTGGGTCGGATGTCCCCTCACAGCCTGCAGGAGGAGTCAACCCTGCTGACACTTTGGAGACTTTGAGCTGACAAAATGATGAGACGGTAAATTTGCTGTTTAAATCAGCCTGATTCGTAGTATTTTGGTAGCAACAGTGAAACAATCAGTATGGCTTCTGAGCTTCACTGTGTAGTCAGTTTTTTGCTACTCTGATGTGTTTCCAGAGAGCCCTAGGTACCACGAGACCATTGCCGAGAAGCATGTACCTGCAGCCCGCAGGGACAGCCTCTCTTCAGGAGCCAGTCCCCATGCCTCTGCACTCCATCACTTCGCTTCCTCCTCCTCTGTGCCTCTCTTTAGGCTCAGCTGCATTTAGCAGCCACAATCATATATTGAAAGCTGTGGATTACATCTGCTCCTAAATGTGAAGGCTGAGTTTACGGTTTTGTTCACCCTTTCTGTCGCTTTTGTATGATTTAAAGAAGGAAAAGGAGATGCTGAAGTTGTGCCAGCACATTCATACCTGAAGTTCTTAACGTTAAGATTTAATTCCACGATTGTAAAGATTTCACCAAAGTGCACAGTGGGTACTTCTCCCAGGACAATCATTACACAGTACTTTTTATCTTCAAGGTAATTGGCAGACCCTTAGCAACTAATTCTTCCAATGCTCTGGAGCAATGGACAGTGGAAACTACACTTTTATGCCTCCTGTGGCATGGACAGCTGTAATCCCAGTATTCTGCAGGCTGTTGAGGCAGGAGGATCACTGTGAGTTCGAAGCTAGCCTGGGCTATGTAGTGAGTTCACTGCTGCCTGCATTACATAAGGAGACCCGGTCTCAAAAAAAAAAAAAAATCCGACTACAAGGAATAATCACTAATATCGGCAGATATGGGAGAATGAAATTGTGGTAGAAGATGTCAAGTCATGGTGGCCTGTGGTGTTCATTACAGTAGAGAAATGGAAGCTTAACTAGGAAGAATTCTTGTCCATACTACGGATGAAGAGACTGGAAGGCACACAAGAAGCTTCTTGTCCAAGCACATACCGAGTTGTCAATAGTGTGAACTGGAGTTAATGCAGAATTGTTTACAGAAAATTTCTCATAGAGAAATCCTATGAGAACTACTCTCCAAAGTGATGAGGAAGTTGGATATCAGAGGGTGATCCCTAGAAAGGGAGATGGTGAGGGTTAAAGAAAAAAAAGACAACAGAGATTTGTGTAATTTCAAAGTACTTGCAGGGGTGGGAGGTCAGTGCCTCAGAGTGGGCAAAGACAAAGACACTCTGAGTGGGCCACTATTTATTGGGTGCACATGATAACTGGAGGGAGCATCAGGTGACTTAGGGGGCAGGTGTGAGCCTATGCAGAAGAGGATCTTATGCTGAGGGTTAAAGAAAAAAAAGACAACAGAGATTTGTGTAATTTCAAAGTACTTGCAGGGGTGGGAGGTCAGTGCCTCAGAGTGGGCAAAGACAAAGACACTCTGAGTGGGCCACTATTTATTGGGTGCACATGATAACTGGAGGGAGCATCAGGTGACTTAGGGGGCAGGTGTGAGCCTATGCAGAAGAGGATCTTATGCTGATGGAGACCTCAGGTCGATGAGGATCTTGTGTTGATGAAGGCTGTAAGGAGAGCATTCTTACAATAGTAGGTGGGATGAGTTAAGTTGATAAGGAATTTGTCCCTCCCCAGGTGAAACCTTTCTACTCAGTTCTGAAAGACCCAGTATAACTTCAGCTGATGTACTCTTGCCCATTAGCATCACAGCATCACGAGACCGAGGTCTCTGTTGTGACCAGAGGTAAAAATGGAGTTATGTTTCCACCTGCCATAGCCAGCTCACAGGCAAGGTAACATTGAGCCTTAGACAGCTATAGCCATATTTGAATTATGAAATGGTTTTCCACCAAAATGATGTAGACTGGGTCCTGACAGTTGCTATGGACTTGATAGCATATGGAAGTGCAGCTGTACTGGCCCTGTGCTCCTCCCACCTGCTGGCTGCCTCCTGTGAGCCAGCAGCCCAACCGAAAGAGGTGGCCCCGCCACCTATAGGGGCTCCGCTGCTGAGGACCCCACTGCCAGGTCTGATGGCACCCAGTGTAGCTGCCGGGCACACGAGGTCAGTCTCCGGGCCGGGGTGGAGAGCTCATGCTGAGTCACGGGCACCTGACATCACTTGTCAAAAGCCACAGGGAGGCCAGCCAGGGCCACTCCTGCAGCAGTTCTGTGGCCTTTCCTTTCTTGAGATAAAATATTTTTGCAGGATTCCCTGAACCAGGGTGATATTGAGCTCTGCCAGAATTTCAGTGAGGTGCTAATACAGGGTATTCATGTGGATGGATTACTCTAGTCAAGAAGTTCATGCTAGGACTAGGGTGTTTCCCAGTAAAGCACCTTGTGCAGCATGGAAGCTTAGGTTCGAGTCCTAGCTCCACAGAAAGTTCACCTTAAGGAAATGGAAAATTGGTTCTCATGACCAAGTTGCTTTTGTATAAAAATGTAATTAATAAAGTCTAAAAGAGCAGTCATCACTTACACCTGTCCTCCATTCTTGGTTGTTTGTTGTAGTTTGGTTTGGCTCATTGTTTTACCAGGGCTATAACGCAGGCTTACCCTACCACTGAGTCACACTGGTGACTCTTTCACTCATTCATTCACGTAGCCTCAGCTCAGTTCATCAGTCTATCAGAGGTCAGCTGAACTGACTGAAACTTGAAGAAATGCTCAGTTTATCCATTATGAGATTTTAAAAAATTTGTTTAATACCTTTACATTTTGTGGTGGTTTATTACCCAACAAGAGCTGACTGATACAATGCTGTCTTTTTTCCTTCTAGAATATACATAGTTCCTATTTTTAAACAGTAGATTTACTGGCTATGCTTTCATTAGTCAACCGTGGACATTATCTACTGGTTTCCAGTATGCTAGATGAAGATTTATCACTTTTGCCCAGTCTTAGTACAGGTAGCACAGCTGGGGCTGGCAGCCCCCTCCCCTCCACCCACTTGGATTTGGGCATCACCCCAGAGCTAATTCTCCTATTGGCCTGAGAGCAGCAGAAAAATAAAGACCCTGGATATCTCTGCAGCTCTAGACCAGAGCACATTCCTGTTAGATCTTGTTGCCTGACCTTCAGTAACCCTTTCCCTACTAGAACCTTGTTAAAGGTTCATGCTTATGGACGGCATCTCAAGTATATAATTTAATCACAGTGACCTCTGGGACAGGCCTGAAAGCTAGAAGCCCCTGGGACGACTCAGCACTCTGTAAATCAATCCTATCTTACCCACAGACCCCGTGAGAAGCACCTGGGCTAGGGCGCACATCTTTTAAAGTCCAACAGGCTTATGCGTGAGCTGTGTTGTGCTTTTTATTTCCCTGTTGCCCAGACACCACTTTTCTGTTTGGACCTGCCCTGACCAGATCTTTCCGTTATCTTCAGCAAACGCAGGCGCCTTTTCTTTTACCATTAACTGTACGTACACTTGCAATTCTTTGCTCGTCATCAACGAGAGCATGGAATCTGTCAGCTCTCCCACAAGTATCAATCCTCTCCCCTTTCGTCCTCCTAGAATATACCTCAATATTCAGGGTTTACTTGATTATGCCTGCACAATTATTTTCCACAGCCGCACATTGTTCAAGGTAAAGTCACAAGTCTCGGGATGAATGTAAAATGAACACATGTCAAATTAATGAGGGATCCAGACGATGTCAGAACTGGCTCCGAGAACTGAAGCCCCCACCTACACTGTTAAGTCACGATGAGAAATGAAGGTACACATTGACGCAAGCGGCTTTTTACCAAGCAAGGGCGAGACTCGACACGAAGTCCAAAGAACAAAGATGTACGGGGTACCCCAGACAAAGGTGGGGAGCCCCAGGAAGTCAGAATGGGGTGTCCCAGAGGATGGCTGGTTTTCGCCGGACACCCAGTAAGCTTTTGATCCGTGGCAATGGGTTTCACAATCTTCCCTTCCAAATTGTGTGTGTAAAAACGCAGCGGCTAAGGAGCTCTTCACTTTTTCCTTTCGTTTTCTTTCATCTTTTTGCCGCTGGCAGGGTTGGGAGGTATTTCTTTGCTCCAAGTAAGCCGACTTCAGAAGAGGGCAGAAACCCAAGCCCGGCCCGCCCGAGGCCCGCATTTCCCGCGCTGCCGGAAGGACCGCTCCCGGGCTTGGCCCCGCCCCCTCCCTGCCGGGCCAACAATAGATCTGCTCGCGAGGGTCTCGTGACCAGCCCGGGCCTGTGACGAAGACAACGTGGCAAAGAATGTTCGGAATAGCCCTGCGTGCCCGCTTTGTGCCATCCACTCCATCTTGTTTCTCTTTTCCTCCATGAAATGCCTGTTTCCTGCTTGCTCCACCTCGATGATGGTAATCTACCTGGCTGCCCTCGACCCAAACTATTCCGTGGGGCCGGCCCTTGCCATCACTCCCGACCACCGCGGAGACGACTTGCACTTCTGATTGGGCACGCTATCTTGTCAATCTCCAGGTTTCTCCAATCAGGAGCCGGGTCTAGCCAGATCCCCACTCCCCATTGGCCTATGTATGACGGAAGTTGGATGCAGAACGAACAGGCCAAATCGCGCGAGAGCGGCCCTTAGCGTTCAGTGCGCAGGCGCCGAGGAGCTGGCAGGGTACTGGATAGGAGGCGGTTTAGAGACGCATACTCTGGACTCGGAGGCTGGAACTCAGCAGTCTGCTTCTGACCGCTGGGCGGCAAATTCGTCAGGGGCCTGGCCAAGATCGAGCCTGCGAGATTCCCGATGGTGTCCATGACTTTCAAGCGGAGCCGCAGCGACCGCTTCTACAGCACCCGGTGCTGCGGCTGCTGCCATGTCCGCACCGGGACTATCATCCTGGGGACCTGGTACATGGTGAGGCGCGGCCGGCCGCGGAGTGCGCATGTGCGGCGCGGGGGC